CACGCCAAAGAGTCGGCCTGTGGAGCCCTCCTCCAAGTTGGACCTTCCCCAATGGATTGTCTTCACCGGCTTGTCAAACAGCACGAGGCCTTTGGGTAGAGACGCCATGATGTGGTCTGTGAGACCTTGAAAACCGCTAGGAGGAACACACACAAGAGTGGGCAGCCTGAAGCGTACTCCGGGGCCGATCTGCTCTTATTAAACCGGAGGTTCAGAATCCAAAATGCCCTCTATAAAAAAGGAGAAGCACCAGAACAGGGGATGGAAATAAACCTTGACATTCCATCCAGAGGAGAGATGATGGAAGGCGTGAGGAATTGCTGAAGCGCATCTACTTAGCAGAAACTCCCACATGCAAAAGCGCACACGCACACATGCCTAATCTCTTGGGTGGGACCCATTTTGTCCTTCCAAAGCTAACACCTGACATCCAGGGCAAGCAGAGAAAACTTGGGGTTGAAAGAAGAACAGGAGGCTCATTCAATTCTTTTTTAAAAGGGGAGTTGGGAGGGGGGGGGAACTCACTTGGGAAAGGTGCAGTCCAGGCCAGGAAGCATGGTGTACTCCCCGAAGGGCCCCAGCGCCAACTCCTCCAGGCTGTCCGTCGCATTCACACAGCACTCCAGGTTGAAGTAGGCGTGCAGGACGGCCAACTGGAGGCGCCTGGTCTCTTCCCCGTCGGGCGATTCCTCCAGCTTCCGGGCTATGGCCCGTTTCAGGTACTCCCCCACGCTGGGCACCGGCGGGGGATCCAGGTGCACGAAGGCGCGGGCTTCTTCCAGGAGCCCCGAAAAGAAGGCGCCCACGGAATCCACCAGCTCGGGGCTCAGCTCCCGGCCCCGGCTGGAGTACCAGGCGAAGGGCCCCGCCGGATGCCCCTGCACTTCCACCTGCTGGTTTTCTTCCGACAGCGCCTCTTGGTCGAGCAGGCCGGCCTCCGACGCCAGCTGGAAGACGGGGTTTCCCTTGGAAGGGCCGTGGATCCACTGCGCCCCCACCTCCACCACGCCCTTCCCTGCGGGGGAAAGGAGCCCCTCTTTCAGCCACGCCTCCGCCGCTCCGCTCCCCGACAGCCCCGGCTTGCAGGATCCGGCCCCTCTCCTCTCCTCTCCTCCCGCCTGGCCCTGCAAGCCAGGCCCCCGAAGCTCCTGGGAGGCCCGGGCGGCAGCCACGGGACCCGCCGCGCCTCCGGCTCTTGGGAGGTGCCGGCCGCCCCGCCGGCCTTTGCCGTCTCTGCCCGGGCCGCCTTCCTCCTGGCTCCCCTCCGCCCTCCGTCCCCGCTCACCGAAGCGGGCGCTGCGGATGCGGCCCCCGACGCGCCCCGAGGCTTCCAGCAGGCGCAGGTGGGCGGAGAAGCGGCGGGAGCCCCGGAGGAGCCGCTGCGCCGCGCCCAGCCCCGCCGCCCCCGCGCCCACCACCAGCACCCGCGGCCCGCCCGCCGCTCCGGCTCCCGCCATGCAGCCCCGACGCTCCTCCCTGCCCGGCCCGCGGCGGCGGCTCCGCTTGGCCAGGCGCTCCAGGGCCGCTCGGCCGCCGCGCAAAAGCCGGGGCGGAGCGAGAGGCGGACGGGAGCCGAGGGGACCGAAGTTTGCACCGCGGACTTCCCAGCCGGCAGCCGGGAGAGAATCGGACTCAAGGGCCGCCGCCCGGGGTCCCTCCTGCTGCGAGATGGGCGGGTGGCTGTAATGAATGGGGAAAGAAAAGAAAAGCATGTATAAGAAAGTAAAATAATAAAGTAAAATACAAATAATAAAAAGAGCTTATCCTGGCCCTGCTGAAGTAAAGAGCAAATAAAGAATAATGTAGATAAAAGAAATAATGTGAATAAAATAGGAATCATACAGAGTCAGATATATGGGCTCTGGGGGACCCCGTCTATTCATATTATTATAAGGGGAAGATGTGCTTAGATACATGAACTCTGAGAGACTCTATCTATTCACATTATTATGAGAGAGGAAAGTGCTTGTTGGAAATTACATTAACAAACAGTTAAACCCTTTTAAGTGGTAATATATCTTCTGATACCTAGATGTCACGGAAAGGACTGCTATATGGAAAAACATCTGAGTGACCTGACTGTGAATGACACAAAGACCTATATGTTACAAAGAGTTACTTAATCCAATGAATTTACCTAAGGACAGTAGTAACTCTCCCATTAGCGACTCTGAGCACTTAAGAAAAGTTGTGTGGCTAAGATAATTTTGTAAACTAAGATTAATGCTTTAAGTAATTAGATGAACTTATTAACAAGTATATGTAACCATAGAAGGAAAATCGGATGTATGATCTCATGATTAACCATATATGGAAAATGTATGATCTCACTGAATCCTTTGTCTTAGAAATGTATAAAAAACATTGTATCAGAGTTCTTTCTTTGTTCAAAGCTTCAGGTACAAATCTGGCTCTGAACCTTGCGCAATAAACTGTCTCTGACTGGCCTTGGAATGTTTTTTAGTCCTTCCATTCCACTACACTGCCTCCGGATGGTTTTTGCAAGGAAACAAAGCAGCCCTTTCCTGGCTGGCTCTCAGGTGGCTTGAAGGAGTTCAGCCTGCCAGGGATGCCGGGGATCCGGAGTCTCTTTTGGGGAACTTTTATGCTGCTCCCCTCTGGCCTGTCTTTGGATCCCTCTGCTTTGATTCTCTTTATTGCCATCCTCTTTTCCCGACCTTGTCTGGCTTGTCTGGTTAATGATTCTGCCGGCTGGACTCCCAACCCCACTTTTGCTACGGAGGGTTTTTCTTCCACAGGAACCCTTTGCACCTTGAACCAGCCCAGCCTGTAGGCAAAGTGGACCTTGTCTTCTTCTTCTTCTTCTTCTTCAAGCACAGAACTAAGGTCCTTCTGCTTTCCAAGAGGCATAAATAAATAAAAACGTGTGGCCTGCTTTTGCTGGCACTTAAACTTTGGTAGTCTAGTCGTTTACCTGAGGTACAAAGGAGCCCCGAGAGAGAAGAGCATTTTACACACGTGCAATTATTAGGGTGTTGGAGGGAAGGAAAGCGGGGGGGGGGGGGGATGGGGTGAGGAGAGAGGTCGCAGAGGGAGAAGAGAATAGAATAACAGAGGGAGAGACAGGAGTCCTTTAAATACCGGCCATAAATAATTTCCAAGGGAGTTGCCGTGTTTATCTTTGCAGTAAAAATAATCCTGCCTTATCTCAAAGAATAATAAATCTATTAGTACGTGGCATTATTGTCTGGGGAGAGAAGTTTTTAAAAAGGGAGAGGAAAACGGTGGAAGGGCATAAAACGGGGGTCAGGTGTGAGGCGGGTGGGAATGAGCTAACAGTAAAAGCTGGCAAAGCCTGACTAGATATTTATGGCTGCAGAAAGAGCGTTTGAGAGCAGAGGTTGTGGATTCTCTATGATGAATTGCTGGCAGGAGAAAAATGGCCGTTCTTGAAAAGCTGCTTGGCTGGAGGTTGGCCAGCCGAATTAGGAGGGCCTGGAACGGAGTCCTGCCAGCCAGGGTGGAGATCAAAAGCCTGAGCGAGGGGGGCAGATAAAGGCTTGGGAGCTTTAGAAGAAAGATGGGCAATTGCTTTCAAGGGGTCTAATAAAAAACAAATAAATCAGGAAGATGCATGTAAAGTCCATGTTCTAGTGCACAGAGTACAGGAAGTAAGCAGGAAGACCTTCGGTGTTTAGCAAAAGTAAAGCTTCCTTCAAGTCAAGCTTGACTTTGAGTGACTTCATGGATATCGAATTATCCTTATTTATTTAGGATTACAGCCCACTTCAATGCAATTGGTTCTAAGTGACCCACACTCCTGGTTTACAGTAAAAAGGATTAAGGCAGTAAAGCCGGCAAACATAACAATAACATTCTCTCTCATCACAGCATGCCAAAGAACTGCAAATCCCCAAATCGATGCGATCATGTTAGCTCAAGGCAGGAGAGACTCCAACCACACCAGGGGCTCTTCTGGAAGACCCAGGCCTTTAGGAGTTTGCTAAACCTCAACAGAGGTAGCGCTAGTCTGATTTTGTGGGGTGCAGGCTCAGAAGGAGCCGGCCAGCAATGGAGAAATCCTGTTTTTGTGGCTGGGGAAGAGGACGCTCCTTTGGAGCTGGGCCAGTGGTGGGATTCAAATTTTTTTACTGCCGGTTCTGTGGGCGTGGCTTGGTGGGTGTGGCATGGTTTGGTGGGTGTGGCTTGGGCGTGGCAGGGGAAGGATACTGCAAAATCCCCATTTCCTCACGATCTGCTGGGACTCCGGAGGCAGAGAATAGATGGGGGCGGGGCCAGCCAGAGGTGGCATTTACTGGTTCTCCAAACTACTCAAAGTTTCCGCTACCGGTTCTCCAGAACTGGTCAGAACCTGCTGAAACCCACCTCTGAGCTAGGCCCTGAAGGGATTCCCTTCCAGAACCCACTGGATGGGCAGGTATTACCTGCCTTTCAGGGGTCTCCAAGATATGCAAGTCCTGAGCTGTGTTAAGCCTTTCAAACCACAAACAGCAGCTGGAATTGCATCTAGAACCCAGCTAGGAACCTGTGCAACGGTCGCAATTGGTCACCCAGGCAAAACGACCACCTTCCGGTACAGAACTTGCCATGTCTAGCCAAGGAAGAGAAGGACTGGGCTGGGGTGACATGAAAGCAATGCTCTGATATTTGAGGGGCTGCCGCAAGAAGGCGGGGACAACCTATTTCCCAAAGCACCTGAGGGAGGACAAGAAATAATGGACGGAAGACCATTAGAGACAGATCCAGCCTGGAAATAAGGAGAAACGTCCTCACTGTGAGAACAATTAATCAGCGGAACGGCCTGCTAAAAACACAGGAGCCTTTTCAGCTCTTGAGCAACGCATTGGGCCAGAGGGGGAGAAGCCTTCCTTAAGCCTCTGATTTCCTCCCATAGCAATTAATCTGCCTGGTTCTGGGCTCCACAGCCACCGGGCGCTGGCATGCATTTGGCAGATTGGCCCTGCGCTGCAATGCCACCCAAAGAGCCTTAGGCATTAATTGATGTGTTTGTTCTGCTCGGTAATCATTAATTGCCCTCTGAAATAAAGCGGAATAAATGGCAGGCGGAAGAGGTCACCAGGAGCCCCTCAGATGCAGTTCTAGCCGGTCCGAGGAGGTTGGAGGGGATTGTGGATCTTTGGAATGAATACGGCTTCAGTTCGCTTTAAAGCGGAAGCTCGGCCCAAGCCCAGCTCTTCCTGAGATCCCCCTAAACAGAGGGATCCCCTCAGAATCTCAGGCAGCCTTCCTAGCATGAAACAAACCGTGGTTTGGAATGTGCTGGAATATCTTTGCCGACTGCTGGGCATCTCGACCGGAGCAGGTGAGAACCGTTGCTGGGGGCGGCTTCCCTTCTTTTCTTTCTCCTGCGGAAGGGCTGCTCCTGGCCACTTCTGCAGCTGGAGAGCTTTCTCTTGGGTTTCATGGGCACGATGAGAGCTTGGCTCTCGGGAAGGAACAAAACAGCAGCAATTCCCTTTGAAGTTTTTGTGCTTTTTACCAGTTTTTGTTAAGAAATTCGGATCAAATTTGGAAGTGGATAAAAAACTGTAAGAAGGAAAACATTGGAAGAAGGAAAGTAGATTGTGACTCTCACCTCCCTCATCCTGAAAGAGAGAGTTTACAGGCAACCTCTAGTCAACTGAGGTAAAAACTCAGTGCCCCAAATACTGCAGATTGTGTTGCTTGGAGAGGGAGTTATGGCACTGTGGGGGTTGCCATGTATTAATGATGATGGTTCTCAATGAACACCTTTAAACATGGCTTAAAACATGGCAAACAAAATAACATAGAGAAATAAACCATCATGAACAGTCATCTACATTAGTTGCAACAGATGTCTTATGAGAGAAGGCCCAAGGCGCGGTCGCTGTCCTGTCTGAGGCCCACATTCATGCACGAGAAACCTTCAGGGTTAGGGCTAGGGTTAGGGGCATGGGCTAGGGCCACTTCAGTAAAGGCTGAGGTGGGCTCCACCAATTCCCCGGCTAAAGTTGGCCATCATGTCAACAAAGACCCCGGCTGGCTTCGAGGCCACTGAGCACCAAGCCAGGTCTCTGTTGGTTCAGAAGGGAGGCAGGTGGAAGCCATGAGATTGGACCTCTGAGGATAAAAAAAAGAAAAAAGGATCCCTGGCAAGCATTGGTTTAGTACTGCTTTGTTTTTCCAGTGCAATAACGATTTTTATCCTTCTATGCCATGTCTGTGAAACTTCTGCCAAGCCAAGCAAGTGAAGATAAAGTTATAGTTGTGAGGCGATTTGTAATCTAGTGCTGAACCCACATCTGGAAGGCTAGGATTAAAATCATTTTCTCAGACACATTCCACTATTGCCACTGTTTAATTTCTATTGTTTCTCTTCCATTTCTTCCTTTCCCTCTTCTTCCCTCTTAGGACCCACCATTTCCCCTATTATTAGACTTTCTTCATCAATAAATAGGTCCCATTTTCTAGGTGTTTTTTCATAGACAGCCTTCTCCAGATGTCATGTCCTTCTGGGTAGTCCTCGATTTACAACCACAACTGAGGCCAAAATTGCCATTCAGTTGCTAAGTGAGTGGCACTCCATTTTATGACCTTTTTGCCACAGTTGTTAAGCAGAACACTGCAACTGTTAAGCAAATCCGGCTTCCCCCCATTGACTTTGCTTGTCAGAAGCCGGCTGGGAAAGTGACCAATTGATGATCCCATGGCCCCACGATAGGGCCACCACTGTAAATATGTGTCAGCACCCGTCCAGCACCTGCTCCTTTCAACAGGGGTGCTGCTGCAGGACACCCCCCCCCCTTTGGGATATCGTTTGAAGCATGCTGGCCCCAAATTTATTTCACCTTAACCAAAGGCAGCTGGAGGAGAATACAATACAGATCACATTTCAAATACTTGAAAGACCCCTCCCCAAAGAAAATCAAGAGCCTTTATTGATAACTCAGGGTGCAAACTTCAAAAACAATTTAATGGGAAGGCAGGTTCTCACTGAACGTTTAGGAATAAGCTGCTTAATAAAAAAAGCAGTTTGGTGCTTGCGGCCAAAGAGGCGATGCTCTTCCCTTCACAAAATGGGTTCAAGCACAGACTGGAAAAAAATCATCTTTCAGATAGGTTTTAATTTGGATTTGACAGACAGAGAGATCACTTCCGGGTTTAGGATTGTATGATTCACTTACGTTATGGCTGCTCTTTGTGAAGGTCTTCATTCCATTTCACAAACCTTTTGTAACTACAAAAATGTGTGGATATTAAAAAAAGATTAAAGAGACCCCAAGAAGACTTAAAAAAAAACCCTTTCTAGCTGTAATTGGAGAACGGTGTCATGTACCTTATTTGGAAGATGGTTTGTTCTATGTGCTATGGGATTTCCTATTAATTAATTAATAGGAATTAATTAATTAATTCCTTTTGTCCTTTCATACTCAGAAATGAAGAGGGAAAAATACCCATCATGAAAAAGAAAGAAAGAAAGAAAGAAAGAAAGAAAGAAAGAAAGAAAGAAAGAAAGAAAGAAAGAAAGAAATGTCACTGAATGTAAAAGTATACAGAACCATATCTTTAGACATGAAGAATTACTATGGCAGGGAGTGACCTCAGCCATTTCTCTTCTGGTAAATTAGTGATTTGTGTACCCTCCGTGGCAGCCTTTTTATGGGAACGTCCATGAACCGTGAGCACCAAGAGTGCAAAAAGGAATGCGAATGGAAGGTCAAGGACTTGACTCTCAGATCTGATGGGTTAATTCATTGCATATTTGCAGGTGTTGAGTGAAGAAGAATGTGGCTGCATAATGAGATTTGTTGTAAAATTTGATCCTTCCTGGACTTGTTCAGTTATTGAAATGTGCTGATTTCACCCTGACCACCAGGATGTGTCTCTGCAAACTGGGGATGATTCTACCAGACGCCCAACCAAGTTCAGGAATTCAGGATTGACAGGGCAGTGGGTGGAGTTGCCCCCTTCTGTTCACTGGTGCTTCACAAAGGAACTTTTGGGGCTGAAGTAAGAAAGAGAGATAAGCATTCAGGAAAGGAAAGGAAAGGAAAGGAAAGGAAAGGAAAGGAAAGGAAAGGAAAGGGAAACATTTTGGCTGTTCAGCAACCAGCCTGCATTTACAGCTGTTTGCAGCATAATTTATAGCTTTTTTTTTTTTTTGCTGGAAACCAGTGTTTATTTTTAGTTTCTGGCAAAAACCCCCCCTTCCGGATGATGGGTTTGCTTAATGACTGTGGCATTTGCTGGGTGACCTTGGGCCAGTCAATTTCTCTCAGCCCTGGGAAAGAGGCAATGGCAAATCACCTCTGAAAAACACTGCAGGGACTTGTCCCGGAAGTCTCTGAATCAGACACAATTAAGTGGGTGACAGTGTGACATCACACAAACGTTCCTTTCTCTGGAAATGCTTCTCCAGGGAGTTTAAAGGCTAATATTGCTGCAGCTGAAATGTGATGTGCAAAGTTTGGTGTGAGGTGCAATAACATTATGTGTGCTGTGACATATCATAAAAGCAATCCAGATTATGCAATTTGTGTTATTTGCACCATGGTGTCCTGCCACATGCGACTCCCCTCGTTCTCCACGGAAGCATGGATGACACCTCTCCATGGTTAAGGTGACGCCTTTCACAGGCTGCTCCCACCTGCTGTGTTTCTTTTGCGTTCCAGTGCTCCTTGGTGTGGGCATCGACACGCTTCTGCAGGGGCAGTTCAAGAACCTGGCTCTTTATCTCCTGTGAGTATGGCTGCCGGATCGGAGGGAAGAACAGCGGATCTGAGCCCCTCTTGAGTCCCATCCTGGCCTCAGTGATTATGGAGGGGAGTCCACAGGGTTGCTAAACAACCTGTAGCTGGACTACGGCTCCCTCCCATCCCTTGGCTTGGATGCATCTCGTGGGAATTGTAGCCCAATTACGCCTGGGGTGCCTTTGCTATTCTAAATTATGATGGGGGGGGGGGAGGCATTCTGAATCCCCTATTGCCTGAAGAATAAAAGGCTGAATTAGTTCAGTGTTTATCTTCTGGATGTTTATGAACAGCAAAGCTGACCAGAAGGTGACAAGGCCAATCTTCTTCTGGCCTTCTGGAAGGGAATGTGGAGGTTCTGAATGCAGAGGTTCCATCTAGCTATTGGGATGGGCATTGATGGGTTTAACCCCATAAATCTATCTGGCTTCCCTTAATAGCTTCTGGGCTTTCTTTGGTTTTATGTCAGTGAATAATAATAATTGCCTTCCCAAGGTTCCTTACAACCAAGGGGGCAGAACTTACTTGGAAGGATTTTACATGAGTTCTGCAAAGCATTTGGGGCCTCACCAGTGGCTTCCGGGTATCTTTCTTTCCTTCAAAAACTTCTCTCTGTGTTTCTAACACATGAGGGATTTTTCCCCTCCTTCCTGCCTTTTTTCTCCAACATCTCTTCCTTGTTAGACAGCTCACCAGCCACACAACTTTATGAAGCAGAACTACAACTCACTTTGCCTGGTTTTGAGGCCAGCCCTTTAACCACTAGGGCGGACTGGCTCTGTTTCCCCATTCCTCCTTCTGGAAACACCCCCCCCCCATATCTTTCCAACTACTCTGTGCTTTATTATTTTTTAATCAAATATAAGCCGATTGCTACATAAGAACACAGAGTTTTGCTTTAAAGCTTTCAGCCATGATCGTTCCACATTCTTGGTCTCTTTTTTTTAAAAAAAGAAATACTAACAAAAAAGAAAAGTAAAACCAAAACAATATAACTAAACATCAAAATCAAGGGACGCAAAGAAAAAAAATAAGATCACTAACAAACCACCTCCGAATGCCCTCTTCGTGTTGTCCAAAGCAAAAGCTCTGATGTAAATATTGACAAGTAAAATATCCATTGCTGTGAATGTGATACAGATTTATCCTCCCAATGCTAAACGTTATTGATTGTTCCTCCAGGCATGAAAAGTATTTGACGTCTTGAAAGTTTGAAAACATTGGGGGTGTAGCCAAGAGGAACATATACATCTCACATGAATTCATATTAAATTAATATTCTTGTGGATTTGAGCCCAAAATGTAGCAATTAAGACAAGCAAAATAAAAATTATGTTGCATTAACCTCATCGTGAGCTCAAATCTCACATTACTTAAAGAAACTCGTATCGATTTACATGAACATGTCATTTTTCATAAGATTATGTAAATAACATCTATTTCAGCCAGCTCCTTTAATCCTGGAGCGTCCAGAGATTGGACCAAATATATTTTATTTTCATTTTATTGGTGAAGCTTATGTGCTGCTCCACTCCCAGAGCCAAGGAGGCCCTTTTCGGTTCACACAGTCTCTGATCCGTGGAAAAGGAATGGCTGACTTTGCAATGCGTCTTTTTTCCAAAACTCCTCAGAAGCAGCCTGGCTGCTAAACTTGTGTAGATCTGTTTATTTATTTAAAAGGTTTGTGTGGCTGCCCATCTTAAACAACTCTAGGTGGCTCACAATAGCAGTAGAACCATAACTACGGTATAATACATAAACACAAAACAATCAAACAAAAGCAACATTTTTGTAATCTTCCCCTTAGGATGTCCCACAGCAAACTCAAATACCCTCATTCCGTTCATCCTACCCTACCCTACCCTATCCGAGGGCCTTTGTAAAAAGCCAGCTCTTGATGGCTGTGCTGAAAGACTAAAAGGGGGGTGGGGGCTGGCCAAATCACCGGGGGTGGGGGAGGGTGAGCCAGTGTGACGTCCAAGATTGATTAAATGTGGAAATATACATGTTGGACACAACGCATTAACTCCCCCTCCCCATTAGTCATATTAATGGTGCTACATTAGACCCCCGTCTCAAAATGGCTGTGGGAATCCATTTGTGGATTTAATGTGAAAGCATATTTTAAAATTTTGTGTTCTGATGTTATCCAGACCTTAAAAGCAGCCTTAGACTAATGGGAAGAAGTAAAGGCCTCCCTCTCTCTTTCTGTCTACTTTAGATCTGTCCTCAGAAGGAGCAGCAATGGTTCAGGTTGTGTAACACAGGAACAGGAATAAAGCTTAATAATCCTCCTCCCTGTGGATAAAGGCAACGGGTAGCCCTCACTTAGTGACCATAGAACATAGAATAATAAGGTTGGAAGGGACCTCGGAGGTCTTCTAGCCCAACCCCGTGCTCAAGGCAGGAGATCCTATGCCATTGCAGATGAATGGCTGTCCAGTCTCTTCTTAAAAGCCTCCAGTGATGGAGCAGCCACAACTTCTGAAGGGAAGCCGTCCCTCTGGTTGATTTCTCTGTCGGGAAATTCCTCCTTGGTTCTAGGTTGCTTCTCTCTTTAAAGAGGTCATTCAGCAACCACTCAAAGTTATGAAGCAGAAGTAGGGGTACCCACTTTATGACTGTCATGCTTGTGCAGATTCCATTATGGTCATAAGTTGAGGACTACTGTACTTAATTTCTGACACTTGATGTTAACTTTTCTCCCTAGGAGGCTAGCAGAGGTGGGCAGCACGAAGCCTCCTGTCCTGACATCCGGCCTTTGCCTTTGCAGAGCCCGAAGCGGCCAGCAGAATGGCTGATGTTCTGCAGAAGCCGAGGCTCTTTTGGGAGGCTGGCTTTCGCTTGCCCCCAGGTTGCCTCCCTTAACGGATCTCCATGCTTTAGTATTTCAGGGATGGCTGTTTCTCTCTGGGAAGTGGCGTTCTTTGCCAGCCTCCTTTTGATCTCCTGCTTCGTGTGAGTTTCGTTCCTGTCCTTCCAATTAGGTGCAGGGCCTCAGGTGGGGGGGGGCACGCAAAGGGTCATTCAGTATCCGAAGTGACCAGACGGATCCATATGAGGCATTGGAGGCAGTTCGGTATAAAGACAGGGGCTGTCTTCGAGAATTGCAGTGGGGCATCGGGGGACGAGAACAGTGGAGAAAACGCCAAGGAAAGAATGAGTGGGGCCGGGGAGGGGGCGGGAGAGAGAAGCCCCCCCGATGCACCTTCTCTGAGTGGGCCCCCCACCCTTGAAAATGCCCAATATTGTTTGCTGAGGGAGGCAAACCTGTCCAGCTTCAGCCCCTCTCCCTCTTGGCAGCCCCCGGAGGGGATCCACGGTGGACGCTTGCTGGCTCCGAGCCAAACGCCGGGGAGCTTTCCAGAAGTTCCTGGCTTATGCCCTGCTCTCCATCGCCTGCTTCCTCAGCCCCGTCCACATCTGGCAGGTCGTATTCCCAGGTACGTGGGGAGGAAGGTGCAGAATCCAGGAAGGGCTGCTGCAACTGGGAGAGGATTCAAAGGCCTCCCGTCTAAAAGGAGGGTGCCCCAATTCACCCTTTGCAGAGGGCGGAGGGGCAGCAAGGAGGCCTAGAGGGCAGTGGCCAGAGAGGAGGGGCTTGAGCCCAGGCTGAGAAATTAATTCTTGGCAGTTGAAGTTCACACATCTCCAAACTGCCACGGTAGAGAAACCCTGAGTGTAACTTTCTCTCCACGTGTCCTGCAAACAGATGGAAGGAATTAGTTGATTAAACATCAGGAAGTCTTGATTTTTTAAAAAAAGAATATGTGAAAATTATTGGAGGGAATCCAAGATCAAAATGATTGTCTGGAGAAGCAAGTAGTTTGAACTGCTAGATGGGACAATGGGCCTCCCTCTATATTTTGCTATGTATTTTATCCTAATCAGGATAGCTTCACCTTCCTTCCTTCCTTCCTTCCTCCCTTCCTTCCTTCCTTCCCTCCCTCCCTCCCTCCCTCCCTCCCCCTACTTTTCCAGGCACCCTGCTGATCCTCACCAGTCTAGCCTATTTCCTGCTGAGTAAGCAACGGAAAGAAGATACAGGAAATGGAGCACCAGAAGAGAGGGGTGACCATCGTGATGAAGTTATAGATGAAATGCCTGGAGACAGGAGTAGGCAAACATCCTCTTTCCACCCTCCATTCAGCTCCCTTGCCGGCTCTCTGAGGAGCTTCTTCCAAGCTTGCCAAAGGCCGATCGCCTTCATGTGTTCCTCATCCAGCGTTGTGTCTATGAGGAAGCCCGTTGACTTTGAGGAAGTCTTAGAGGAGATGGCGCTGCCCCTCAGAGGAGAGCCGGAGGGCTTGGCCAAGGAAAGCACCTCTGAAACGGCCTTCATCCTTTCTGCCCAGATGTGATGCCCCAGGTGACTCAAGAATAAACTCTTCTCTTGCAGCAGCAGTCTAAGGCAGAGACGTCTCTGGCCATGGCCAACAGCCAAGAATCCCGGCTGGTTGTTCTCTTCACCACGTGTCCCCATCACTACCAAAAGTGTGTGTGTGGGTGTCTGTTTTTCTTTTGTGGTGTTTCATTATTTGGTCATAGCAATGCAGGTAATAGCTCTGAAAGCCACGGGAAGAGAGAAATTGTGCAGTCCGAGCAATGGATAACATTGCTGAAGAGACTTCTACTTGGATAGAGGAATATACAGAGGGCAGGGGGATATTTCTAGAAACAATTCCTGTTATATATCTTTGCTATATCAAACGCTATCAAACAGTGTGGCTTTCTAGGAGAAAATAAGTGTACAGAATTATCCTTTGTCTAAGTTTGTTTGGGAACTTCCAGACTTTGGAAAGAGGAGGAGAAATAAACAATCATATCCATTGACTGTCCTCCTCCCCTCCCCCAGTTTCCTCCAAAATCAGGAGCTCCGGAGTTTCATGGTCACCTACCCAAGCTTCCTTCTTTTTCAATTTCCTCTGCTGAGCCTTTCCCATTGCTGAGCCTCGTGTCCAGGCCAGCAGTTGCTCTCCCGTCTCCCTTCACCCTCTGAAGGAGAAATTTGCTAAGCAAATAAATCTGGAATTTCCTAGAAGGATCAGGCAGGTTAAGCAAATAATTTGGGGATTACCTAGCGGGACCACCTCATCACTGGCATTCAGATGGTCAAAATCTCTCATCACTCTTAGTTTGTAGCTCTTGGAAAGACCCGCAGGTTGCTTTTGGAGGATGGGAGGGGGCTCTGCCCCCCCCCCGTTGCTTCTGAGAGTTCCCCCTGGAATCTCATGCTTCCCACAGCATTGCCTGCCTCATTCATTTGTATGTCTGAGCAGGAATTTATATTTGCACTCACAGGGCGACTCTTCCTTGCTTTCCAGTAAAAAGGAGGGGGTTGATTTATTCTCCAAAGCACCTGAGGGCAGGAAAAGAAGAAATGGGTGGAAAAAGAGAGATGCAGCCTGGAACTATGGGGAAATTTCCTCAGAGTGAGGGCAATGACTCAGTGGAGCAGCTTGCCTCCTGGAGTTGGGGGTGCTTCATTGCTGGACACTTTCAAGAAAAGCTTGGACTGCCATTTGTCAGAAATGGTATAGGGTCTCCTGCTTGAGTGGGGGGTTGGACTAGATGACCTATAAGGTCCCTTCCAACTCTGTTAATCTGTTAGCCCTCAAAAGCTATGCTAACATTGAGAGCTGCCACAGACCCAGAGTAATGACACTGTGAAAAATCAACGGGCTCTGAGATTTGTATCAATCAAGATCAATGTTTGCTTCTTAACCATACAAAGAATAATGAAAGCATGAAGATGTGTATAAAAATGTCGACATTTATAAAGACCTGCATCCCAACTCCTGCCAGGCCAAGTTCATTTGCAAAGCTGCTCCACAAGTCTGGGAACCAATATTACTTGAGCCAATAATTTGGGTCATTAATAAGGTGCTAATTAACAGGTGGCAGAGATCTTTGAGGCACAGGCAGTTTTACAATAAAAGAGAACGACACCCATTCTCAGGAAGAGTATTTAAGCTTTCAGTGTCCAAAAAAGGCACGGGGAAACCACACGGCTAATGTAGCCAAGATAACCAAATGTACTTATCTATTTGGTCTTCAGATATTAAGCTGGACTTGGAAATGGCTTTATTTTTTGTTTGACATCCCTTCAAAATTCTTGCAATATTCAGTAAGGTTGGACTAAAAGAAACAGCACTAGAATTAGGCACTAGGGGGCAGCAATGGCACTCGGTGTGCATAAGAATTGCAAAATTCAGGACTTTTCCTTGGATTTTGGCATTCCTAGAAATCTCAGCGTGGGGTTCATTGTTCTGAGGAAGCTCAGAGACAAACACACCGCCTGGAGTCCTCAGCCATTGGGCTGCTGGCCCATTTCACCCCCGTCTCCTTTCCAGGGACTTTCAGAGTTTCAAGTCAAGGCCATCATCACTTCCCAAAGACAACATGGCAGAACTTTTAACTTGCTCCCAGTCAAAATGACTCAGACAGAAATCTCAAAGGCAGCCCAGTCACTAAAAAGAATAATAATCTGATGTTTATAGAATGTTGGGCTAAAATTAAGAACAGGACGTGAGAGCAGACTTCCAATATCTGAGGGGCTGCCACAAAGAGGAGGGGGTCAACCTATTCTCTCAAACACCTGGAGGCAGGACAAGAAGCCACGGGTGGAAACTCATCAAGTGGGGGAAATGCCCTGGAACTAAGGAGGAATTTCCTGATAGTGAGAACAATTAATCAGAGGACCACCTTGCCCCCAGAGGTTGTGGGTGCTCCATCACGGGAGGCTTTTTTAAAGGAGAGATTGGACAGCCATTTGTCTAAAAGGATATAGGGCAGTGACAGGCAAGACCGAGTGCCCAAACTTCAACCCAAAACCCACTTATTTATCGCAAAGTGCCAACACAGCAATTTAACCTGAATACTGAAGTTTTACTACCTAAAATAATGATAAACAAGGCAGAGTTCAGCTAATTGTTCTAAGAAAAACATGATAAATGCACTTTTTTGCCCCTTCATTTTTTTCCTGCTTTTGAAATATTACATTTAGCAACAATAAAAAAGAAAAACTTTTGTAATTGCATTTTTCTTTCCCTCCCTCTCTCTCTTCCTCTCTCTCTCTCTCCTCCTCTCTCTCTTCCCCCCCCCTCTCTTTCTCTTTCCCAGGAGAAACCCGATGGAGCTGGGCTGGGGTGATGGTGCATGTGCCCACAGACAGGGCTCTGTGTGCCACCTCTGGCACGCGTGCCATAGGTTCGCCACCAGGGATATAGGGTCTTCTGTTTCAGCAGTGGGTTTGACTAGAAGACCTCCAGGGTCCCTCCCAACTTTGTTATTCTGTGTTTTCAGGTGTTACTATTCTTAGATTGGTCTCATCACAATAGGAAGGATTCGCTTTCCATTAATTGGGGAACATCCTCACAGCAATGCCTGTTTTCTGTGGCAGCTGCCCAATCCGCCCACGACAGAAATGAAGCAGGAGAGAAAGGAAGGAGGCACGTGGGTCGAGTTCGCTGCATGACCTCTGTACCTTCAGATTGACTTTCCTCAGCTAGCCGGAGCTGTATCTATGGTTGTCCTTGAAGATACGTCTGTAGCTGATCTGAAGGGTGCCTGGCTTTCCAGATGTTCCACGGGATTCCACATCTGGCCCTCCGTAGCTCAGCAGGAGGGAACCTGGAAGCCGTACTTCAGAACATCTGAAAACCGACTCCCAGTTACGGATTCTTTTACTTGGTGCCAAAGCAGCCCTTTCTTGGCTGGCTGGCGTTACAAACAGGCAGGCTGATCTCTCTGTGTGTCTGAACGGGCCACACGGGTCAAGGGCAGGTAGGCCTTCAATTCGACTGCAGCCATAGTGCACTCACAACGGTAGGCTTGTTCCTGGTGTGATGCAGAGGATCAGGTTGTCAACATGCAAATGCTGCCAGAGAACAAAAGCTGATCAAGGCAGGATGTTCTGTTTCCACCGCCTGGATAATAGCAGTCTCAGAAAAGAGAAATCGGATCAGGCACCCGTTCTCCTGTTGCTGCTGCTGAGCATCCAGTCCCAGATGAATAATGGCCTGTCTCTTTTTTCAGGAGAGGAGAACTCTTCCGAGGCAGGGCAATCAGTCCTCAAAGCATTAAAAATGCAAACCTTGCTGCTTTCTTGTGGCTCCTCTTCCTCTCATCTCAGGTTATCCATCCCAAGCAGAGCAGCACAGGTAAATTCCTTGGAGCGAAGCCCCCCTGGCAGGAGCATATCTCGCATCTAGGCAAATCTGCAAGTGAAGACAAAGAGCTCCATCTTTTATTGTGGCTTAAACAAAAGCCATGGCTACCTACCTGGATCTCAGCCGCAGGCCAAACCACCTGGTTCATCTCACCTGAATCAAAGGAGCCCCTTTTTAACTGCCTCTTGTTACGAGGCCTTTGACAACATGCCCAGGACATCCTAGAGATATAAACCAGAAAGATAATATTCCCTTGGGACAATCTGAGCTGTAAATTACCTAAATTAAGATCTTCCTGTGGCATTTATAGCAGGAGAAGCTTCCTTCACGGATGCGGAATAGGTCAGGGCAAGCACATCCTTGCAGCTGGAGAAAGCTTGATGGTGAGGCCATGTGGTCAAAAATGGCCAGCAGGATCAAAAGATCTTCCGAGGTCTGAGACAGCTGCACCACCTCCCCAATATCTCCTTGTTTAGGAAGAGGTTATGGAGATATCTGGATGCTGCTGCTGAGTATTTGGCTTACAAAAAATAGGTTGCAGAGTTGAGAATAGAATAGAATAGAAGAATAGAATAGAATAGAATAGAATAGAATAGAAGAGAAGAGAATAGAATAGAAGAGAAGAGAAGAGAAGAGAAGAGAAGAGAAGAGAAGAGAAGAGCACTTTATTGGCCAAGTATGATTGGACACACAAGGAATTTATCTTGGTGCATATGCTCTCAGTGTACATAAAAGAAAAGATGCGGTTTTTTTAGAGATATATAGAGATAAAGGCAGTGGTGGGATTTGTTGGAAGAAATCATTAAGGCAGACAACCGGTTGTTAAATTATTTGAATCCCACCACTGGATAGAGGTAGTAGATAATGATTAATAATGAATCTGTAATGCATTTCAACAATGATCTTTAAGAACATTCTCAAATAATTAAAGATAATAATTAAGAACATCCACATTTGGGGGATTCTTCAGTTTTTGAGTGCCCAGGTTTCATGATCTTCTGTCAAAACTACAGGCAGAAGAAATGTGGGTAATAGAACATATTCCGTTGGTTCTCCATCTTCCCCTGGATTTGGATAATGCCGTAAATTTGGCCAGGGGGAAAAAATTCACTTGTGGTCTCAGTAAAAAAACAAAACCAGGATCCCTTGCGCTAATTTATCATTTCAGTATTCTGGATTTTTAACCTCTGCAGGTGCCTAGAGCCCAAGACCAAACTTACTTTAAGTAGGTAGAGATACAATTATGGCTGTAAATAATTTATCCTGAGAATGCCCATTGTATATTAAATTTCACAACCCTATTTTATCAAAGACATTCTGTGTGTTCAGGTTTCTAATCCCTTTTAATTTGCATTCTAAATTGTATCACACCAATTTCTCATCAATGGAGGATGAGATTGATCTATTTTTTTTTTTTACAGATTTTGTGATTCTCATAGCTGCTCCAGGATTTGTCCTCCCTTTTCAAGGAGTCATAAGTACGCTTCCACCTACGAAATGTATAAAATTGGGGAGACTTTATCTCCAATGAATTTTCACTGAGATAAAATATATGTTAGATTTCTTATCTCCTATCTTACTGGTAGTGTAGACTGATGCTTTAAAAAAAACCTCTTACCTTCTAGTATCAAGAAGGGTTACTTGTATATTACAGTTTTTTTTCCAAGCTATGAGATTATCCTTATTTATGTTCCAGTTGTAGACCTGCTGTCTTGATAAATACAGATACTAAGATTTTAACAGTAACCATACTGCCTTTTAGATCATTCTTTAATCCATTTTGCATCTTATGAAACAAATTTTGAACATGCTACCAGTTCATAGGGATGGAGCAGAGATTCTTGAATTACAGAGAATCAAGACTCAGCCTGAAGTAGGAAACTGATGGGAAACCGGAATAAAACGCAGCGACTGGGTCTCTGTAGGAGCTTGTATTGTGCTCTGTTTCAAGGCAGATAATGATCTTATTACAGGTTCCAATTACCTGCCTTTAACCTTAATAATTATAAATGATAATACTTTTCTTGGTATCCGTTCAGCTCAGGCTAGATTTACAGCAATGTCAAGATTCTGATAATATTAATAGGAGACTAAATGTAATTTTTAAAAATATACTTTTATTATTTTAACAAACAATATCAGGTAACTACATTAATCCAAGATACATATATAGAGGAAAAAAACCCTAAAGAAATAAAAATACAAAAGGTACATGCTGTAAAGGGAATGGCAGGGAAAATCGTTTCATGGTTCATTTGAACCAGGTTGAAACTTGGGGCCAATTCTTATGTAAAATGTAGAGGTAGATTTTTCCCATTGATATTCAAATCTCTAATTCATTCTTTAACTAATTAATCAAAGTATCCAGCTATTTAAAGCATGGAAGATGTTAAATATTAGGAGCCAGTATTTATCTCCATCCTTTCTGAACTTCCAAGATACAGTAAGCTGTAAATACAAATTTGTGATAACGGAAACTGACTTCTTCATCTCAGGGGTGTGTAGGCCAAACATACCGCAAAGCCTGATGTTCATACAGTTGTGTCTTTCCAGTTTCAGACAATGTTTTAATAGGTTGAAGTAAGATCGAATTAATTGTTTTAGTTAAAAACTATGAAAATATTTTTTCAGTTTTGGTATCTCCATTGGCACCTCTATGTACTTTTAATTATGATATCCTTAATCCTAGACTTTTTATAATTATGTACAAATATAGAAATAAATATTTAATATGTACAGAATCGAATGACGGATAATGAAATTGGCAATTTTAAGGAAGAATAACCACAACTAATTTTCCCACTAATGAGAAAGAACGACCCAAAGAGTTTTGATTGGCCATAGACGAGGGTCACGATTACATTGCCAATTTCTAATTCTAACTTTTATCATTATTATTCCCAAGTGTCTAAATCTACTTGGGCTGTTATTAATCTATCTGATTTCAGGAAAGATTTTTGCTTTCACCAAGAACTACCCTCTTCTTCCTCTGTCCAGGGACGCTAACAAGCCTACGGAAGACAACGGCCCTGGGGTCAGAAAGTCAAGATGTATGAAAAAATGGCTTTATTTGTGGCTGCCATCTTGACTTTTCTGAACACCCCCCCCCGCCTTTCTTGTAATCTTGGGCTGAGCCAAGATTTTGTTTTCTGAACATTTTGGGTGGTGGGGAAGGGGATCAGAAAGGAGTGACTGCCGAAGGCTGAGCTTCAACTCTTTCCTCAGCTAAAGAAGAGGAGGGGAAAAAGGAAAGGAAAGAAACAGCTCTGACGTGTGTCATGCTTGTGGGGAGGCCCCATTTACCCCTAACTAGTGAGATATAAAACCCCCCAATCGACGCTTAGGCGGCTTTTCCCAGCTGCTGGCTTGCCCTGAGTCTGAGCTGGGTCTCTCCATCTCCTCCAGTCAGCAGAAAACAATACTGGCGTAAAACTGGCACTCTGCTCCGTTGCCAGTCCTGTCCTGTTTTCCTTGCGTCTGCTTGAAAACACCGATGAATTGGAGCAGTGGGGGATGAACAAAAGCCACCCCCGCTTATCCTTCCATTGTTTCACTACTCCAGCCTTGAGCTGACGGTCAGGACGATTAGCCAGCGGAAGGGCTTTCCTCCCGGACTGGTGGTGGCTCCATCGCTGGAGGTTTCCAAGAAGAGACTGGCAGCCGCTTGTCTGGAATGGTAGGGGGTCTCCAGCCTTATGATTCTATGCAACTCTGTTCAACCTGTAGGGGACACAGCTCTTCTGGCCACAGAGCTCCTCTTTATTCGGCTCTTTAAGGGCAGAAGAGCAGAACTGAGCCAGCTCATCAAGGATAGGAAGGGCCAAGTCGTCTGAAACGGCCAATAAACCCCAACCCTGATCCTCTCCATAACTGGTCAGTGGCCTCATCTCCAGCATAAGGGATGGCAGAGCCTCCCAGATGTTATACACCTTGAGGCAGCTGTTGAATAGTCTTGGCTTAAGGCGGAAGCGTTGGTTGTCGCCTGGCGCAGGGAAGGCTCACTTAAAGCTGCCTCAGTCAAAGGCTGGGGGTGGCATGAAGGCGATGCCCACGGGACACGGAGAGGGACGATGGGGCAGGTCTCCTGCTGGCCCAGTAGAAACCTGAACAAATCTGGTGAACTGTTACAGGTGGTCCTTCACTTATAACCATTCGTTTAGTGAAAATTACAGTGACTTATGACTGTTTTTCACGCTTACTACCATTGCAACATCCCCATGGTCAACTTGATCAAAATTTGGATGCTTGGCAAACTGACTCATATTTATGACGGCCGCATAGTCCCAGGGTCATGTGATCCCCTTTTGCGACCTTCTGACAAGCAAAGTCAATGGGGAACCAGATTCACTTAACAACCATGTTATTAACCGAACAACTGCTGTGATTTACCGGTACTTAACAACTGTGGGAAGGAAGGTTGTAACATAGGGCAAAACTCACTTAACAACTGTCTCGCTTAGCAACTGAAAGTTTGCGCTCCATTGTGGTCTTTAGTCAAGGAACACCTGGATATGGTCATTGACTAAATCAGAGTAGCGGAGTGATTAAATTAATGCCAAGCCATGCCTTTTCTGCTTCCTTCCCTTATCTCCAAGTTCTTTGAAACCATTTTCCTGCTCCCTCCGCTTCAGTCAACCTCAGGCGGGATCTGGACTCTACGCTCTGAGTCCGTTTCCCCTGCTGACCCTCATGGATGACTTTAATTCTCCAGGGTAAAATCCTGGTCTGAACAGGCTGCGCTAACATTTTGCTTTCAGGGTTTCCTATGATTTAGGGCTGCAAATTAGAAGAAACTTCTTCAAGTGACTTAGAAACGCAAGGCTTGGGAATAAATATACAGCAGCTAACAGCTATTCCCTCATTAATCATTAAACTGGAATTCTAATAGCTCCGAGGGCCAGAATATATTTCTCTCCACGAGAAGGATCGGATAAA